GGCCGCCCCGCTGGCCCTGCGGTAAGTGCGGCTCCGAAGGCAGCCCCGGGGGGTTGCGGCGCTGGGCACGCTGCCACCCGCGCGGCCGTGGGGCGGAGGAGGGAGCGGCGGAGCGCTCCGCGAGCTGCTCCTCTCTGCCTGCCCAGAGCCGCGCCGAGGTGCTCGCAGTCGCTGCGGGACGGGACGGGTCTCGCAGAGCTACGGAGTTTTTGCAGGGGCCCAGGTGCGGGTCTTTAATGCAGGGGGAAAGGTGGAAAGTGGGGAGACTCGTGACTCTTTCTGCCTGAACCTCTGAGTTCTGCTGCCTAAGTTGAACAGGACTCTGAGCACAAAATCTTGTGTGCTCCTGCACTTGGGTGCTACAGCACAGTGAGGCACATTTTCCCATTGCTCTTTTCCCTCGACTGTCGCCAACACCTGCCTGCTCTTAGAGCCAGCAGCTCTTTTGCTCCAAAACCCACAAAATCTTACATCTAAGCAGAGCGGGTATTGGTAATCCGGATCCTCAGGATTCCCTAGCCTTGTGAACACCTGCTTCAGGAGCATTGTCTTGACCTATCCTTCATTCTGCCACCCTACATTTCAGCTGCTGATAAAACGAGTGATTTTCCCTGTGTGCCCTCCATATCCTGATCTATGTGGTCCAGTGCATGGTGTGATTGCATGGCGGAGCTGCAAACGTTCTTTTTAGCACCAGAATAGTGCTGAGTTAAATCAAATTGAAGCCACAGGCTATATTAGATGAAAATCAGTGATTATTTCTCTTTCCTTTTGGATGAAAGCATAAAAACTATATAGATGTGGCAGTGGGACGAAGGCAAAACGATTGCTTTGGCAAAAGTATTGTGTTAGCATCAGCTATTGCTTTGCTTTCTGGTATCAAATGTGCCAGTTATGCTACCTAGGTGTCTAAACCTGTCATATCAAAAAGTTCCATAATCAAAATATACATGTGTATGTCTATAAGCCAGATATGCATAATGAAAAAGGGGATAAGCGTAATGTAGTTGTACAAAGTAATTATAATACAACATATGTGCTCCCACAGGTACCAAGAAAATTGGGTGATTTAAGACAAGTAGCACCTTTACAACCAGGAATAAACTTGTGGCACTAAAAACAGCTTTCGGTGGAGTGCCTATCCCCTTGGCATCAGGGGCAGCTTCCTCAAGCTGAGCTCTCATCGTCTGGTAGCTGCGGCCTTTGAGCACAGCTTGTTCTCTTTGCTCTTCCCCGCAGGAGCAGTGTGGGAATTCCCTCCTCGTGCCGGCTGTCCCAGGCCGAGTCGGAGCTGAGGTGCCGTGTCCCGGGGGGAAAGCTGTGCAGCGGCAGAGGCGCGTGTGACTGTGGAGTCTGCATCTGCCAAGTGACCGAGGCCGGCAAATACTACGGTCCGCTGTGTGAGTGCCATGACTGGGTGTGTGAGAGCTATGATGGGAAGACCTGTGCAGGTAAGGAAGCCACGGACACTGGGACATTTTTCTAGCATCCTCAAGCAGGCAAGGTCCTGGCATCGACATGCCTCTGCTGCTGATGGTTAAGAGCTTCCTGTGTGAGCTGGAGATGTAGAAAATCAAGAGTGTGTGTTATGTAGGTACATGTTGAATGAATATAGCACACTGCAGTAGTGAAAACATGGTTATATGTGTTTTCCTCAGCCATGACTCTAAAGAGGTTTGTTGGCACATCCAAGGATTTTACCGGGTCAAAGAATACAAGTTAAGGCACTGCCTGTGCCACAAGTTGGGACTCTGTCCAGAGAAAGCTTCATCTGCAGGGAAGGCAAAGCTAGATGCTTTGGGTTGGAGACTCTGCAAACTGTGCTTTGAATCCAATTCAGTGACCCAATTTTGCTTGCTATTTCATGTACTATTGCTACATTTTGACTGCTCACAGCTAGCTCTGAACAATCTTTTTGTTTTCTTGGAATCTTTTTCTTCTGCTGCCATCAGGAAGAAGGCCCGCTGCAACAGGAATCACATGGAGGGTTTCCTATCCGGGTGGAATAAATAAAAAAACCTCTATTTTTCTCCAAGTAGAGATGATGCTATTCAAACAGAAACTTAAAATAGTCTAATTCCATTACGATATCAGAGATCTCTCTATTGACCCAGTATTCTGGGACCCCGTTTAGTCCCTTCCAGTTGTTGGAACATGGCACTTGGTTTGCATCAAAGCATTATCACTCTTTCATCCTTCCAGCTGCCTTCACTTAAGTTTCTAGGCTATTTTTGTCAGATTTGGGATTTTTTTTTGTAAGCTATAGAAGAGGATTTTAGAAAAGAGCAGGGAGAAGAAATGCCATCACGTTCCTAAGGGGATTCAGTCTGGAGCCTGATGAAAGGGGTCATATGGGTACTTCATTTCTGGTGTCCCTGCTTAAACAGCTTTACCAGATTCACACAAACGTGTCATCTTTTCAAGCCAAAAACTGCAATTAGGTCAATGAGAATGTTACAGGAATTCTGCTAGTAAGAGGATAATACAAATGCATTCCAGCAGTGGGTTTGGCAAATTTTGTAGGAAAAAAGAGCAACTTATTTTAGCAACAATGTAGCTAAGAATAAGAAGTCCAATAATAACATGAAAAGATCAAGAACGGGATTATAAGAAAAATGTTTGCATTTGGCACCTTTGACTCTGGAACTTCATGGAGAAACTGATCTGTAGGCTCTCTACTGAGCAGTGTAAGTCTAGTTATCTAAGTAGTATTAGAGCTCCACTGGTCACTTCAGTGCTTTGCAGTCCCAAAAGTGAATGTTCTGCTTGGTCTTGTGATTTCAGTAACTTTGGTGATTGTTACTGGGGCAAAATTTTTAAATATTCTACTACAAATTCACTTGTTGGTAAGTTTTATCTCTGCTTTTATCTATCTTTATTCCCTGTTAATATCCTGAGCAGTGACCAGAAGTTTTGCCAGTGCTTTGGTGGGATGGAGTTCTAGTAGGATAAATAAATCTGACATGTATCAGTTCAAAGCTGTAAACATTAACTAATTAAAAAACAAACAAACTTTTTTTTCTAATTGTCCCCCTTTTTTGTGAAGTACTCAAATAATTTAAATTCACTCTATTGGAGAAAAAAAAATCAGCACAAAAATTTCAGCACAAGTTATGGGAATGGAAATAGCTGTTAAGGACCTAAAGTTTTGATTGTTTGTCTTTTTTTTTTGAATATTACTGAAAGCCTAGGTGACTTTTTTTTATTGGCGCTCAGGGTTGCTCAGTATTTCAGGAAAGCAAGCTTCTTCAAGACTGAATAGCAGGATCTAGCCCGAACTGTGGAACAGCTCTAGGCTGTACTGTCAGCCCTCTTCCCTTTTATTTCTGCCACATTTTTAGTCAGTTAACTAGTTAACACTTAATTTTAGTCAGTAGTGTATATCTGGGAGGAGGGGAGAATAGAAAAGGCGATTGGACATGCTATATCTGTCAGACTTGTCCTTATGATTTAGAACTAAACCAAAAAAAAAAAAAGGCAAAGTGCAGCCTTGTCATATGGTTGGCATCAGCATATACTGATCCTCAAAGACCAGTATGACTGCCTTTCTTTTTTCTTTTCAATGCTGTGGTCTTCTATGGCAGGTTAGAATTTTTTTTCAGTATTTCAGCTTTAATGCATAAGTTCTTTATGCATATACGTCAAGGATGGGAAATTTCACTATCTTGTTTTCCTATTCAGAGAGCAAATTTTGCACTAGTATATATTTTCATACATATTTGCACTGAGGTATATATATATATTTGCAGTATAATGTTGCTATTACACCCATTCACAGTACTCTGTGAATCTATCGCTTATGCATCCAAAAATATCATGCATGTTTCTTTCATTTCACAATTCTTCCTAGGAAAACCACATGTATTTTAGCAGAAAAAAAAATGTGTCGACTGTGACTGTCCATTCAGTAAAACATATCTTCTTAATGCTACTTAATGTTAAGGAATGTCAAGCTGATTGTCTATATGCTACATCCTTTCCTTTCTTTGTAACCTTGGGCAAATCTCTTGACTGTATGATGAAATTGTATTTACTTTAGGTGAAAAGCCTAAAGAGACTGTTTTTCTTTTTTTCTGTTTAAATTCAATATTTATTGAGCTATTTCATCAGTAGTCCCTCTGGATGAGTACAATAACAATAACTGCACACTAGTACTACATGCAGAACTTTTAGATGCTAATTGAATATTCCTCTGGAGATCTGTGGTATTTGAGATTAATGCTGCTTCAGACAAGCTGCTTTTCAACCTGCCAGAACGATGTCTTTTCCAAGTGACTGATATCTAATCGCTAGTGATGCTGGTGTTCTGAGTTGGACAGTCATAGTTGCTCGTGTCAGTGGTGCCACAGATAACTGTGTTTCCCTGTCAGTCATACATACCTTCGTTTCCCTCTCCCATCCCAAACTAAACAAAATACTTAGTTGCTCAACAGGCAGGTCATTATCTTCAAGACACTTTCTCAGTCAGATCTACCCTCTGGATCAGAAACTGGACAGTCATATTCTCCAGCAGGAAGGCCTGTGGGATAGGAGAAATGCCCATCTGTTTATAATTTGCTTTTTTTTTTTCATCATCCTATATAAACAACAGAAAAGCAATTACACTATGACTAATAAGAGCAGTTTTGAATGTCTCAGGCCTCTTACTGTCTTTTGAGGTTTGTCTGCAGTATTTCCCTTTCATAATGTTTCCAGATGCTTTGGAGAGAATTATTGTTTTGCATTTTATCTCACTGTGATTGATAAAGCCATAGGAGTTTTCCTAAGGAGTTAATAACAAAGCAGATGAAAGAAATGAAGTGCTGTAGTTTGAGACATTGAGTACACTATGTTCCTCAGTGGCCTTTTCTTCTGCCTGCTCTACATCTTCATGGAGTGTAGAGGAAAGAGGAGCAGAGAGTCCAAGTATTGTAGTTCTGTTTGCAACATTGGTGAAATCTTTATTTTCTTATTTGCTGATAGTCTTGAAGGTAGAGATGAACTACGACAAGGATGATTGCAATGTGCTGAATCAAAATCCCAAACGATTTATGCTTCAATCAGGGCAAACAATTTATTTATTGTTGTTTATTTTCAAATAGTAGTTTTGATTTCAGTTAGTTTTATATTGCCTCAGTGCTTTTTTAACAGTGTTTTCTTAGTAGTCAAATTTGCGTTATGTACAGAGAAAAATGGAATGTGCAGCAGTAACATATATCAAAGAGCCACTCGATACCTATTTTTATGTGCTTTAGCAGTACATAGAAAATATGGAGTGATATTTGAGTGATTTTTTTTTCTTATTTAACCTTTTTATGGACTTGTGGTTGAAGAAGATTAAAGAAGGAAACCAAACTTAGAGTTTCATGGCCAGCCGAAGTGGTAACTTTTCATTTTCGGTCATAGTGCCCCAAAGTGAACATTATAGGTGTTCCTAAGGAATGGATCACAGAAGCTGTCAACCTAAGCATGAGACAGTGTAATATTGCTTCTCAGAGCTAACCAAGGCAGGACCAGGGGCAGATACAATCCTGCGTCAGAAAAGAAAAAAAGGTGTACAGAGTAAGAAAATGGCTCTTTTTTTTTTTTTC